CACAATCAGTGGGCACAGAATTCCCTTCTTATGAGGGACTCTCTGCCTCCTTTTTTAAGTCCTTCAGTGTATGGGAGCAACATCTCTTGATTGAATGCTAGACTCATCAGCACTAGCAGGAGTGGCATCTGATTCCGCAGCTGGACACTGTGGGGGTTTGAATACGCTTGGCCCACGGAGTGGCACTATTAGGAGGTGTGGACTTGTTGGAGAAAGTCACTGTAGGGGTGGGAATGAGACCCTCCTCCTAGCCACGTGGGAACCAGTCTTCTCCCAGTAGCCTTCAGATGACAGTATAGAAGTCTCAGTTCCTCCTCCACCATGCCTGCCTGAATGCTGCTATGCTCCTGCCTTGATGATAACAGACTGACCCTCTGAATCTGTAAGCCAGCCCCAATTAAATGTTGTCCTTATAAGAGCTGCCTTGGTGGTGGTATCTATTCACAGCAGTAAAGCCCTAATTAAGACAGGCACCATAACCTGACAAGGTGGCACATAGAAATAGTTTGTGGAGCTGGAGATGGCTCAGAGGTTAAGAGCACTGACTGCTCTTCCAGAGGTCCTGAGTTCAATTTCCAGCAACCACATGGGGGCTCACAACCATCTGTAATGGGATCTGATGCCCTCTTCTGGTGTATCTTAGAACAGAGACTATGTACTCACATATATAAGATAAATAAAAATCTTTTAAAAAGGAATAGTTTGTGGTGATGTCTATGGTGGTCACAGAGCTACTGAAAGAAAAAACAGGTTCGAATATAGGAGACATCTGAATATGATGTTTGCTCCTCATGCCTGATTCTCCACCCCCCATCACTACCACAAACACTCCCGGAAAATTTTAACTCTGCCTCCAACACTCACACCAGTCGGGCCCTCAGTTTAACCCTTTTCTGGTAGACGAACTCAACTGGCTTATTCTGGGTGAAAGCTGGTGCAGAGCCACTGTGTGAGCGCTGGATGACATCCCAGTGCTTGGTGGAACCAGGGATGCCCACCCCTCCCGGGGTTCCACCCTCTCCTACATGGGTCAAACACTCCCCCACCCACCCACTCCAGTCCTCAGTGCTGGTAGCTGCCAACAACCCCACTTCATAATCCACTATGTCCATGGTCCCCTGTTCTCCAGCCGAGTGTGTATTGGGAAGACTGTGGGAGACAGTTCAGGTACAGATGCCTCTCTCTCTGGTTGACTGGACCCAACCATGAGGGGCCACACAATGTGACCCTGCTTGTCAAAGGGGTCAACATGGGGTGGGTGTTTGTTTCTAGTTCTCTGCAATATACCAATTTAGGAAAAAGCTTTGTATTTGTGGGCGGCCTGGCCAGACAATAACGGCCAGTTCGATGTGGGTCAATTGAAGGTGAAGGTCTGTGAGGTGTTTATAAGACACTTTTCATTTATGCTGCAGGCAGCGTCTTTGCTCCTGCCTAGCCCGCTGCCCCTAGTGGTGTACCCCATATATTCGATTTTCTTTCCCTATGAAAAAGCACATGTTGATAGTTTAGATCACCAGTAAGATGGCAGAGCATCGTGCACAGGCACAGCACCGGCACGGTTGAGTCCATCGCTTTGGTAAGTCGGCCCAGCTCTGTGAGTTGCTCTCAGTTTATCACCATGTGGCCTAGATGGTCCCCGCCTGGGTTTCTTGGTGTCCTCTTCAATTCCCCACCTCAACTCATCTCACTCTGTCACAGTCCAGGCTGAGTGGGGACAGCTGGGTAGTAATAGTCCCTGAGGAGGTCACTGTGCTGTACTGTGGGCTCATGGGAGCTACAGAGTGACAAACAGCTTGGTCAGGAAACTGAGATCACAGGTGAGAGTTGAGGAGCAGGGTGGCACTGGACAGATGTGCATACATCCGGGGACCCATTTCATATGAGGGTGCTTGAGCATGTACAAGGGCATGCACGGACAGACATACACACAGAGAGACACACAGCTCAGAAGCGGAGCTTCCAGGGTCCCTCTGAAACTTCCTGCAGCATGCAATTTTTTTAAAAAACATTTTTAATTTCTATTTTTAAGATGAAATCTCTCTGTGTAGCCCTGGCTATCCTGGAACTTGCTTTGTAGACCAGGTTGGCCACCAGAGGTCTACCTGCCTCTTCCTCCCAAGTGTGTTGGGATTAAAAGCATATGTTACCAAGTCCAGCCTGAATGCATTTTTTTTTAAATGCCCACAGTTTGCAAGTTATGTTCACATCAGTACACACACAATGGTGTTCCAGGCAGAGGGGATGTGCCAGTGAGTGCGTGTAGAATGAAAACACACTGTCCTACAGGGGTCATCAACAGGCACAACTTGTGTTTGTGGTGGCCTTTGTGTCACGGGCTCAACCTACTTTGGTGTAATAATTCTGGATTAAAAACAATAAACAGCTGGATGTGGTGGCAGACCCGTTTATTTAATCTCAGTACTCAGGATACTGAAATAGGACTAATTTGCCCCTGCAGAATGGTGTGTTTTGAACACTAGTAGGTGTTTCTCTCAGGAACTGGCTTCCTTTCTTTGGCCCACACCTTTTCAGACTAGAAGATTCTGTGTCCAAGCCTTAAGGAAGGGCCATGGCTGCGAAAGAAAGAAAGAAAGAAAGAAAGAAAGAAAGAAAGAAAGAAAGAAAGAAAGAAAGAGAGAAAGAAAGAAAGAAAGAGAGAGAGAGAAAGAGAGAAAGAAAGAGAGAAAGAAAGAAAGAAAGAAAGAAAGAAAGAAAGAAAGAGGGAGAGAAAGAAAGGAGGGAGGGAAGGAAGGAAGGAAGGAAGGAAGGAAGGAAGGAAGGAAGGAAGGAAGGAAGGAAGGAACTCAGGTCTTTGACTGGGTGTGCAGGTAGGATGCTTAGTTCCCACCAGAGCCAGGAAGACTGCAGGCAGAACAAAGGCTGGAATAACTCACAGGGCCACTCTGGTTGGGAAACCTCTCTTTGAAATTCTCCAAAGGCAGAGTGGAGCAGATGGCACTGGGTCTCAGAGAAAAGGGTTCTACTCAGGATCACCTCAAGATCCCGAAGCACCCCATGTGGACTAGGAGGGCACACTCCCTGAGGCCACAGCTGGGATCATGGAACAGAGACCCAAACCTTAGAAGTTGCCTTGATCAGGCACCATGTGTGGCGTGCAGAGGGTGCATAGCCCTACCAAGCAAACCTTCATTGGCCTGGCTGGAACCTGGCTGGGAGACAGCGGGACTCGAATGAGTCTGTGGGGTCTGAGTGTGAAGAGAATCTATGCTTCAACCCCAGGAGGGGCCTTCATGAGCAGCTGGGGGTACAGTGGTCCCGAGGACAGTACAGGAGCAGATGGTTGTAATCAATCTGCCACCTCCACACGCTACGACTCTGAGTGTGGAATTGGCGAGAGCTCGCCTGGGGCTGAAGAGAAACCTTAAATAAACTGAAGTAAAATATCCGCCTGCCCCTGACATGAGGACTCAGCACAGACACACTCAGCCGTGACAAAAGAGGCAGCTGGCCTGTGCGTGCCCCTCGGAGCTCTAAGCTCGCTTCTATTTTTACCTCCAAGGTTTGTCGCGATTTGCTCCATGAATGCAGGGCAAATGACAAATGCATAGCATTCCTCTGCAGCTGGCATTCCTTCCTGCTTATTTAATGATCAGGAGCCAGGAGTGTCCCTGACAGGAATGTTGATGAATGCCTAATAGCTGGGGAAGAACCAGCTCTGTCAGCTCCTAGGAAGATCACATGTCAGAAAGAGCCCATTGTCTGACAGTCAATGAAATTTCTATAAGGGCAGAACCCCACCCACAAAACGAATGAAGGCATCATCACCATCACCACCACCACCACCACCACCACCATCACCATCATCATCATCATTAGTATTTCATGTGCATGTATGATGTGAGTTTACATGTGGAAACACAGATACCCATGTGTGCATCCACAGTGGAAGTCAGAGGACAACTTTATGAGGTCAGCCGTCTTCTTCTGTCTTCCCGTGGGTCGAACTCAGGTCACCATGCTTGAAGATATCCCTCCCTTTGGCCATAAGACTATTGAGACAATGGACCCCTCCAGATTGCGATCTCATGTCAGGAAAGAAAAAGTTGAAGTTTGGTTCAGCCAGAGGAGGCACTTGTCACCCAGGAAGAGATTTCACATAGTTTCGACAACTGTCAGGCCCCTTATGGAACAGAGAAGAGGAGACAATGGTCGGAGAGACTACACCTCAACCAGTTCTGCTCAGCTATGAATACCTCTGGCTGGCCCTGTTTTGTTTTTTTTTTTTAACTTCACTTCATGTTAGGACCCTGAAGATGGGCTAGGGGAGGGGGACACTGGGCCTCTCTGTTCCTCTTCCACGTGTGACCACACTGAATATATCCCTTTCTCTGCTTTTCAGTATTACTTACCTGTCTAATTAGCCTTTTGAGGACTGGTGGCTAAGCTTTACTCCGACTGTGTTAGTCTCAGTAACAGGTCTGCTCTGGGTTCTTGGTGAGGCTCACACACTATCTGTCCTTGGACACGTGGGTTTCTTGTCTCATCCTGTGTTTGGATAGTATCTCCCTGTTGTCTGTCCTCTCGCTGGCCGGAAGGTCAGCAGCTGCTACTGTTGGCCACAGGCTCAGTTCTGGGGTCAGAGTCCCTGTTGTCTTCTAGGCCACTGTTTGGCTCTCAGCTCTGCTACTTTCTGGCTGGGTGACCTTCTCACATTGCCTCAGCTGTCAGATCCACAGTGACATCTCCTCCCTGTCTCCTGCCCTGGGCACCTGGCACTGATCCCCAGACAGCCAAGGTCAGTTGAACCTGTCTGCAGGCCCACCATCTTGATCAGAGCCCAGATGGGGGCCCTTTCTTTACTGTCCCTGAACCTAACCCAGTATGTGCCTGCCACTGAGAGGTGACTGTAGAAAGGGGCCTGTCTCACATTTTCAGTCGGCCTGCAATCCCAGAATGCACCTTCCCATTTTTTCCAGGGATGCTTGTAGGTGTTTCCCTTGCCAGAAGGGTTAAAAATATACCAGACTGAGACAAGGAAGGAGGAGCTGCAGGATATTTTATTGAAACAAGTGGGTGAGTGGGAAGCTGAGTGGCAGGAGACTTCTGACGCTCGTTGCCCCCACTCCGCCTTCCACTCTCTCCACGCAACCCTCCATCTCGTTCAAACGTCAGGGTCTGCTAGTCAGTGGCTTGGATTTGGGGTCAAATGTGACAGTGGAAAAGGGATTTTCCCAAAACCGGGAGAAAGTGGGTTGGGACTTAGGTGACAGAAGACCTGAGCATGACCCAGCAGAGCTGAGGAGGCTGAGGCCACTTTGCACCTCTGGGTTCCAGAGTAACGCTGCCCAGAGCTCTGTCCCCAGGGGTGTGGGTGGATGCCACACCATGCTCCCCACTCTGTTCTCTGCTAACCTAGGGCACTGCACACTCTACTTGCTACACAACACTGGGTCCCAGCTTGGTGGGTCGGACAGTGGGAGCCTGTGGCTCAGCCCTGGAAGCCCAGCTCCTTGTACTTGGCAGCAATGTCATTCCGGAAGAGTTCGAGGGCCTTGCTCATAGCGCCCTGAGCATCTGCTCCGAAGTCCCCGGAATGTCTGTTCTTCAGGACTTGGATGATGATTTCTGAGATAAACTGCCAGAAGGGGACAAGAGGTTGTAGGTCACGGGACAGAGCAAGCCATGGGTTGGGGGTGTAAACCCACTACCCTTCTCCTTACTATCAGACTGTTTCCTTCACACTTAAAATGTCCCAAATGCCATTCTGTGGAATCACTGTGAACCAACTCCTTTAAACCTGACTACCTGGAGGCAGGCACCACCACCATCCCTGCTTTGTAAATGGGGAAACTGAGGCAGAGACAGGTGTGTAGCTGTGTGCTGAAGTCACACAGCCAGGAAAGGTCACTTGAACCCAGAGGGCCTCTCTGGAGTCCCTTTCTCACCCCTCGTGTGCCCACACTACTAGCCCATGAAAGCTTGCATGCAGCAGACAAGACATCCTGCTTAGCATTGGCTAGCCGACCAGGACTGTCAATCAGGACACCTGAGAAGAGGCTTTCCCATCATGTGATTTTATCCTTGAACCTGGTACTGAGGAACAGGTACTGACAAGGGAAGAGGGGCCAGGTGAGATCAGGTACCCCTATTGCCCAGATGGAGATTGGAGTCACCCAGAATCCAAAGGCCCACGATGAAACGCTCAAAGCACTTGTTTACCGTCGTTGACTTAGACTTTGGTCCCATACAGCTCGGGCTGCTGTACCAAGGGGTGGCCTCTTACTGAAGAGACTACCAAGTGATCAGGTTGAGGTCATGGAGCAGATAGATAGTAACCTGAGGTTAGACCCAGGGACTGTGACGGACACACCCCTGCTAGCTCAGCACCCTCAAGGGGAACAGGGCTGGAGCAAGTTGTAGAGGAGAACTGGGGTTTAGTGGGGAGAAAGCAGCCCACTCACATTGAGTGGCTAAGCTGGGAGTTATATCTCTGCCCTGAGAGACTTGCCCTCCTGCAGTGGCCGCCTACCTCCAGGTACTTGACTGGAATCTTGTGCTTGGTGGCATGTGACTGGGCCAGAGGCTGGATCTCGGAAGCATGTTGTCCCTTCTTCTTCAGGATGGTACCCAGGGCTGTGAGCACGGTGCAACCATGCTTCTTCAGGTCCTCTGAGCCCTTCATCTCATCCTCTGTCTTCAGGTTCTTGAACTTGTCAAACTTCTCCAGGGTCTCAGGGTGAGTCTTAAACAGACTAAGGAACAAGAAGGGATGGAGAGAGTCAGATGGTGGCCACTAGACTCCAGTTGTGTCTCTTCCCAGTGGGTGCTGCCTGGGCCAGCTCACCACACCGCTCTCTGATTCAGGGTCTCCATGACTGGGGGTGACATGATCTTATCTAATGGGTTAGATGAGTTAACCCATGGGGGGGCTGACTCAGTGTGGGACAAACACCTGCTGTTCTTCCATTATGATCAATACCCTCTTCTTCTCTTGGTTATGGAGAAGGCCAAGGGCAGTGATGTCTCTCCATCCTCACCCCCTTCTCTGTTCTCCAGAGAGCAGAGAGTGGGGTGCACCGGGGTGGAGCATCTGTGTGTACGGTTCTATGCTGGGCTCACACCTACCTACCATGTCAGTCACACTCTTCCCATTTTATAGACAGGGACGTGTTCCCAGGAGGGTCTCAGGGCTAGTGTGCAGAGAAGGCAGACAGTCAGAGGATCTGTATGACTCATCTGTGAGAGGGATGCTTCTATTGCTTCCTGCCTGAAGAGGCTGAAACCTGAAATTCTAGACTTCATGACTGTCTGTGGCTGCCGTTGAGACCCCTCTACACTGGCATAAACTTCAGATGCTACCTCATTCATTTTCCAATGGTGATGGCAAGGGGACCCACCAAAGGTCACAGCTGCTCCTGCCTGCCACCTCCTGAGCTCTGGCTTTACCCAGCCAGGGACCCAAGTCCTGCTTTGGGAAGATAATGAGGGCTACAAGAGCCACCAACCTCCCCAGATGAGGCCAGTCCCTGATCCACTTGTAGGCAAATAAAACACCATCAAAGTCAGTTGTCTGCCCTGGTTCATAGCAGGTGGTGTCAGAGCTCAGAACTGGAACCTGGACAGTACTAGCTCTAGCATTTATACCTGATGTCTCCTAGGGCCCCACTCTGATATGTTTATCAGAGTAACCATAGCTACCTAGACTCTGTGTTATTCTTACAGGAACACTATGAACATATACATTTGTCTTTGTGTACCAAGCTGTACGGGAAGCACCTGGCCCCCCACCCCCGCCTCTGCCCCACAGTCCCATGGGAAGAACCTCCTATGACCAGGACAACTAAGCTGCTTCATTCAACCCAAGAGACCTGGCTGCTGAAGAGTCATCTTCCTCTATGATCCCTCGAGTTTGTGATCTGCTGATGCCCCCAACTCTTCTCTCTAGCTGTCCCAACCCCTTGCAGGGTCAACTGAGCCTGTGTTCACCTGGGAGCCTGGTTTTCCTTCCCTGTTCTGTCCCCACTCCAAGACCAGCCTGGTTAGGATCCACAGTGAGGGACAGAATAGTCACAAAGGACATAATGTGTCCTTAAAGCACTTTGCAGGGTAATTTACTGAATTCCCACAGTACACCTGAAGCAAGTTGTGTGATTGCATCACGTCACAGAGGAGGAACTAAGAGGTCTAGTGCACATCCAGCAGAGGGAGTGTGGGAGCCCTGTCTCTCTGTGCATGCCTGGATTAGTCTCCAGACAGTGCAGGACAAAAGGCACAATGCTCCACGGCTCCACAGTGGGGATGGTCCTACCTCACCAGTGAATGGGTGCTTGATACAGCCTCTCAGGTCGGCTGATCTATGCCCTCTTCTACATCCATGGTCACTCATCACAGATAGGCCTTCCCGCCTCTCAAGCACTTCACTGTGCGTCAGTCATCAGTTAGGCCCCCAATCCTCCACCATGTGTCCATTCCAACTACATGGACTCAGGAACATACATGGGTTACTTCTTGTTCTGTGATTCCAAGCCATTCCAAAGCAACCATCGCTATTCAGAACCCTGCTGAAAGAGCCTGATGCAGCAGACTCCATGTGACAGCTGTAGAAACTTAGGCACAGGAAGCCTGAGTGTTCTGCTCAGAAGCGACACACACACACACACACACACACACACACACACACACACAGTGTGTATTCTCAGAAGCACACACACACAAACACCCAAGTCTGTTCTTCACGTGGGTGAAGAGCCATGCACACAAGCTGGTGCCATGAAGATCGGTTGGGCCTGTCCCCAGTCCTGGTTGTATTACTGTCATCACCCCAGGAGCCCATCCAGAGCTGTGTGCGTCACTGACAGCTTGTCTCTGGCACCTTGTGAAGGGTCCCTGTACTCCTGACTATTATTATCTAGCGACAATGACCCTTGAGTTCCTGCTGACAGACGGGAGGCCTGACACCCACAGGTGAGCCCAAGGTCACCAGACTGGAAGAGTCCAGAAGACGGCAAGAACAGGGACTCAAGGCTGTGGGCTTTAAAGACACTACATTCTGGTTCCGGCTCAGTCTCCAGTGTCCTGTGAGATGCCGAAACAGGCACTCAGCCTTTCTGGGTCTTAGCTCATTGCGTGTAAACCAAACTGACTTCTTAGCTTCTAGAAGGCTTACCCCAACCTCACCTTTGCCCAGAACTAGGCAGAATAGGATTAGGCTTGCTCATGTTATAGAAGGAGAGGTACAGGCCTACAGGCCCCACACAGCCACTTGATCCCTGAACCCTGAGTCCCACAGATGGAGTCCAGGGAGAGGTCCAGAGCCCACGTCCTTGGATTCCCCTAAACACACCTGATTCAGCCCCTGTTGAAGAAACCTAGGGTTTCCCAGGTTTCCCAGGGTTCCTTTCTTCATCTTGTTGCCAGGAGGCCAGGCTCAGCACACAGGCAATCCGGCTGGCCAGGGAAGGGAAGATGCTCTCTGCTTCTCTTCTAAACAGTAGCCCAATCAGACCCCATCTTAGGAGCACATGGGGTGGTAGATAGAAGAGTCACCAAGAGTATGGGCTACAGCCAAGTGGCCTAAGTTTGAATCCCATCTTCAGTCTTACTAGCTGTGTGATTTGGGACAAGTTGCTAAACCTCTCTGTTAGCTGTGATACAGGAGTTCATACTTAAATTCATAAAGGTGACCCAACATGGAGCTCGCTCTGTGAGATTCCCTTCTCTTCCTTTCCACCTTCACTGCCATTGTCCCACCAGGAGCCTTTTTTAGGGGTGGCCCGTCACTGGCACAGGCTGTTTGTGACTCTGTGGAACAGTCTCATTCTGTGAAAGGTTGCTCTCACTACCAGTCATTTCAAACCTTGGCTCCGAAGCCCTTTCCCCAACAAAAAATGTCATCACGAGGGTTGGGGAGACGGCTCAATAAGAGCATCTGCTGCTCCCCCCAGAGGATCCGAGTTCAATTCCCAGTAACCTCACGACAGCTCGCAACCATCTGTAACTCCAGTTCCAGGGGCTCGAATGCCCTCCTCTGGCCTCCTGGGTATTGCATGCATATGATGCACAGATGTGTGGGCAAGACACTCACAAAAATAAAATAAGTACGTCTTTTATTAAAAACACAGTTATATCCGGGCAGTGGTGGCGCACGCCTTTAATCCCAGCACTTGGGAGGCAGAGGCAGGCGGATTTCTGAGTTCGAGGCCAGCCTGGTCTACAGAGTGAGTTCCAGGACAGCCAGGGCTACACAGAGAAACACTGTCTCGAAAAAAACAAAAAAAAAACAAAACAAAACAAAAAAAGTAAATCACAGTTATAAATGAACTGACCATGAAGAGGTGAGGTAGGGCTCAGAGGTGACAGTCCCTACCACCTGGAGTTCACAGGTCTGCTGCTTGCCCGACACTTGTCACCCTGGAAGATCACTTCCCCCAACAGGAGAGGGCAGGAGCAGCTGGTGTGGCCCCATGACCCAAGCCTGAGAAACGGTGGGTGTTAAGCCCTTGGGGCCTCCCAGGGTCAGCAGCCTTGGCATTGTATCCCACCTGGCCCTGGGTCCTGGCAGGCCTCAATTACTCCCCTGGGAAGGGAAGAGTGTCTCTCTAATGGCACAATGCAATACTCTGAGTCTCCTTCAAGCCCCAAGTCACTGCCCAGGCCCTGGCAGCCTTGGAGTCTTGTAAGACTCTGTTCTACTAATCCTACACACAATAATCTGCTGTCCATTGTAGAAGAGGGTAGGGACTCTGAATCCCAGGGTATGAGAGTGGGCAGCGGTCTCAGAGACCGTGACAAACAGTCCAAGGTAGAAATAGGTTCTGGAGAGGAGAAACAACTTGTCCAAGGTCACATAGGAAATCTGTGGCCTAGGAATTGATGCCAACTTGGGGTGGGAGTTAATCCAGTTACACAGGCTTGCAGGCCCAGCATTTCAGAGGGACTGGGGGGAGAAAGACAGACAGGAAGGAGCTGAAATACCCAGAAGCTGGCGAGCCTCCTTCCAGCATGGCTGCTTAAAGCCCTCTGACTCAGATTACCTTGCTCTCAAGCAGAAGGGTTAGAAACAGACAAAGGAATATGCAAGAACATTGAGATCAGGAAAGGCATTCACCCTAGATCATAAATAGCAAGGAATTCATTTCCAAACTACAGTTTCACAGACATTGCAGGAGCTGCTAGCAACAGAGCAACCTCCCCGCCGCCCAGAGCCCAAAATTACCACTCATACATATCCCGTCAGGCTTCTGAGGCAGCTGAGCCCAGAACTCAGAGAAGATCCCCAGCCTCTGGGTGAGCAGTGAAGCCTTGTGTATGAGTCTCAGCCCCCATCTCCTTGCCCAGGCTCAGAATCTGCAATTTTTCTGGGCATGTTTAGGAATGCCTTGAAGCCGAAGGCAACCACATTATCCAAGCTTTCAGTCCACACTAGGAGACAAGATCTATCGCTGCCCTCATTATTCTGACTCTCTGACATGATAAGAATCATCTGTGGGCTGTTTGATGCTCAAGCTTGCTTTAGTTGCTGACATCAGCTGAGATGAATGGATCCCCTTTTCCTTTCCCCACTCCAGTCTCTAGCACTTAGAAGCAAGTGAAATCCAACCTCATCATTGTGGCCAACTGGTCTACCCTGCCAACTTCCACCTTGTAGCCATAAGGTGATCCTCAGCAAACAGGTATTGGGATAAGGGTCTCTTCCTCTTACCTGATGAGGACTTCCTGTCCATGGCCAGCAAGGTCGGCCTCCACCTTCCCCCAGACATTCAGCACCAGCTGCCATTCCCCATCACTGAGCCCCATGGTCACTTCTAAAGAGGACAAAAGGAAAGTGTGTGGGCCGGCTGTCAGCTATGGTTTGAGGCCACCTGGTCCTGAAGGACTTTTATACCTTCCTGGATGCTAGTCTGGCCAGGATCACTGGGTGCCACATGCCCCTCCTGCCACTGTCCTCAACCCCCCAGGGGTCTAATCTCTGCCTTTCTCTGGCCCTCACATGGGCAGCTATTTTGAGGCAAGTGCCATTGTGGGGAGCTAGGACAGCTTGGGGCAGTAGGGGGTGGGGAGTGGGAAGCAGCCAGGCCACTGTCTGGACTTGCACAAGCCCACAGAAAGGGCACTGAAGCCACTGCCAGCAGCTGAAACCCAATTCTCCCCCTGTCTGCTGCCCCAAGGGGACTTGTCATGTTTCTAAGCGTGGGCACAGGCATCTTGCTGGCCCCTGAAGCCTCCTCCCATCACTTTCTGACTGCTTTTGTTTTTTTATTATGTATGTGCATGTGTGTGCCTCTGTGTGTGTGCATGTGTGATATAGCATGTTTGTAGAGGTCAGAAGACAACTTTTAGGAGTCGATTCTTTCCTTTCAGAATGACCCAGGGATCTTACTCAGATCCTCAGCCTTGGTGGCAAGCCTTCATAACCACTGAACCATCTTGCTGGCCCTCTTCTTACTTTCCTGATGCTCCAAGCCTAGCTGAAAGTGGTACAAAGGAGCCACAGTGAGTCTGTGCTTGTGGCTGAACCAACCTAGACAAGTCTCTGACTTGAAGAATGCCCAGCTGTGGGCCTGCTCCTGGCTTCCTTTGCAAGGTCGTACTGCCATGCTCCCTGAAACTCTCAGCTCCTCCCTTTCCTTGTGATCTCCTGTCCCACCACCGCCCTTGCTGCAGCGTGTGGCACTTCCAGCAGAGAGGTAGATGCCAACACTCCCAGACTCTGCCAGGCACAGACCCTCTTCTCTTTGCCTAGTTCTTGCAATCCCCCAAGAAGCCCATAGGGTAAACACTGACATGGTCCTGGATTAATAATAACACAGCTGGTGTTTGATTCTAGTGAGTCTGGACCCACAGTTCATGCTCTTTTAAACCTTATTTGGGAGCTACAGAGATGGTTCCGAGGGTCAAGGCACCGGCATCCAAGTCTGAAGGCTCAAGTTCTATCCTCAGGACCTACATGGTGGGAGAAGGAAGCTGACTCCTGAAAGTTGTCCTCTGAATTCTCTGTGTGTGTGTGTATGCATATAAAAATCAATTTTAAAATATTATTTTATATCTTGTGAGGGGTCAGAGGGTCGGCTTCATTCATCCATAGATCTTTTGAGCCCCATATGGGGCTTTCTACCTAATTTGAGCTGAAGAAATATTGTTGAATAAAAGATAGGCCGCTTTATAGGAAAGTCAGAGACTGCGCTGAGTTTCCATCTATCTGTCCGGTCTACCCATCTGTCACCTGTCCATTAGCCAGCCCGCCAGCAGTCAGCTGTTATCCATCAATCCATCTATGCTTTTATTCCCATCCACCCATTATTACTTATCAATCAATTGATTCATCATCTGTCACTCATCCACCTATCCATAATGTACCTGTTATTTATCATCCATTCATCCACCCACTATCCATCCTTCATCCATGGTCCACCCATCAATTATCCAATCTATCTTTCCATCATCTCTCATTCCTTCGCGCACCCTCTCTCTCCATCTCCCCATTCATCACTTACCTACTATCCAGCCAACAAGCACAGAGTACACACGCTATGACAGCCGCTCTGTCACATGCTGAAACAACACATTAAGGACATCCTGCGGCTAAGAATCTCACAGTACTCCTGTGGAGGGTGCTCAGTGCTGGGATGGAGGTCGCAGAGACACTTCTGTTTGTTTGGGACATTCCAGTTTTTGTCTTGTCTTATTTGAGACAGAGTTTTCTCACTATGCAGCCCTGACTGGCTTGGGATTTGCTGTATAGCCCAGGCTGGCCTCAAACACAGCAATTTGCCTACATTTGTCTCCTGAATGCTTGGACTAAAGGCACGTGAGACCACACCCAGTGTCTTGTCAGGTTTTCACGTGTGTCCCTGGCATGATCCCATCCAACTACCAATCAAGGAAGGGGCCACCATCCTACTTATAGTCTAGCTCAGAAAGAATAGGTCACATGAGTCTGACTACATTGGGTCTACTCTGGGTGTGTCAGCAGAGACTAACCATCCTTCATGACTCTTTAGAGGAGTGGTTCTCAACCTGTGGTTATCATCCCTTTGGGGGTTGAAGAACCCTTTCACAGGGGTTGTGTATCAGACATCCTGCATATCAGAAATTTACATTACAATTTATAACAGCAGCAAAATCACAGTTATGAAGTAGCAACAGAAATAACAATGAGGAACTGTATTGAAAGGTTGCAGGAAGGCTGAGAACCTTCACTCTAGCGAAACTTCTGCTGAGGTGACAGTGGGAGCCACATTGTGAGACCACTTAGCTGATTTCTTCAACTCAGTCACCAACCACAGGGCAGAGATCTGACTCAGGGCAGCCAATAGCAGGATTCTACCTGAACAGCTGGAGCTACTAGTGCTGCCAGTCAGATGTCTCTTCAAACCGTGAGCAGGGCTCTGGCTGGAGTCAGACAGTATTGGAGAAAACACAACAGGAAAAGTGTGAGATTCATGCCCAGCCCTGGGAGAGAACCGAGAGCTGTTCTTGGGCCCGGATCCCACATCCTCTCTTAGGGGTCTGGAGGGAGGTCAGGTTCCGTGAGCCCTCACGTCCAGCACGACTCTGTGTCTCCTGGAACATCAGCCAGTTGTGGATGAATGAAAGACAAGAATCACTCTTGTTCATTCCCAGGCTGCTGGCCACCAGGGGCCAAGAACACAGGAAACTAGAAACATAGGTTCCAGAGGGGATGTTCATGTATCATTCATCTGTCCCTTTGGTCAGCTATTCATTCTACAGCCTGGGGCTGAGGGTCTGGTCAGTGCTGGTTTACAGAAGCTGATCCTCTGCAACCCCCACTCCTCCTCTGACACACATACATCTGGTTACTCAGGGGATGAGTTCTGGGTACAGGAGGGAAAGACAGAAGGAAAGAGGCCAACTGTGCCAGGATGGCCAGACCACCTGGGCCACATGCTGGGGTTGCACTGGCTCACTCCTTGACAGGCCTGACAGACTGGCAGCAGCTCTGAGTTCTACCTTACATCAGTGGGACTCTGTGCAGAAGTCACACTTTATTGCGTGTCCCTTGGACAGTACCACCCAGCTCTGTTCAGTCTTCCAGCTTCCCAGAGTTGTCTGGTAGTAACCAAGGTAATTAAACCCTCATCAGTCCCTCAGTGGTGTGAGGTGTCTAACTAGTTGCCCTCACGGGTTTGGCAGGGGCCACATGAGCCAGCCTGCCTGGGAAAGCCTGTGGCTCCAAAGTGGAGGGACTTTACCATAAACTCTCAGGGTGACTTGGGCAATTGTGTGTACTTACACATTACCACAACAGAGCCTGGCTCTCGGTTGCTATGGAGACCTGGAACCAGCCCCTCTGTTTGGTGCCTGTTAGTCTCCCTGTGACAGCTGCATCCTGGCCAGGCTAGGAGGCTGCAGACCCACCATGAAGAAAGCCTGGTGTGCAAAACTCTCCACTGCCTGATTTCTACACTCTTGTCACACATGCATATATATGAGTTAGCTAGACACCCATGTGACAGGCTAAACTCTTCAGGCAACTCAACTCTCTGCCTATCCCAGAGTGCTTTGCATCCTCAAGATTGAGACTTGTAAAATCTACCTCGAGAGTCTCGATATCCTTGGATAAAAGTTCTCAGGTACCAACGCCTTTTGTGTTTACATCTCTAGAACCTTGGTTTCTAGATTCCAGGATTGTAGACATCTAAGGATGGAGACTTCTGGAACAACAGGGACATGTTGTCTAGATGCTAAAGAGGCCTTTCAATGTGTCCCATCCAATTTCCCACTAAACATCCTCTGACAGAGCACCACCTGATAGCTGCTTGAATACTTCTAGGGTCAGTGACCACTACCCAGAGCTGTACAAATTCTTTACATTGACCCAAATGTCACCTGCACACAACTCCCTCTTTGCTAGGACTCTGCTTGCTGCTGGGGTACAGAGGCCCTGTTGGGTCTCACACAAGGCTAAAAGCTCATCTGGTTTTTCCTCCCCAGACTACACCTTCTGAGGATTCTGAACACCATTCTTGACAAGGCAAGCCAGGAGCTCAGTCTGCCAGTGCCCACTGGGCAGCTATGTACCCAGGCAGCTCTGCAGCTTGTCTTACTCAAGGCCCCAGACTTATCTAGTGACCTGGGAACTTGACAGCCTTTTGGCAGCCAACAAATCTCTTTCACAAGGTCAAGAGATGACTCCTTCTGACTCTTCTTGGACTTAGGACATAGTGGGGGCGGGGAGCACCACCACTAAAGCTCCTAAAGCCTGAGTCCCCTCTGTCTTCCCTCCTTGATCTAAGCATGGCCTCTGCCTGGTTTCTCCCACCTCCAGCTCAGATGCATCCCTGGCTAAGTCCCACATCTGGCTGTCACGGGCCAGGACACATACACAGCCAACCTGATGTTGACAGAACCTGATGGGGTGGGGACCCCAGGCTTTCTTCAGATCTCTCAGAAACTCACCCCCATGGCTGGGGCTACCCTTCTCAGCCATTGTCATACTAACCAAGCCAACCTTTCCCCCAGATACCCTCAGGAGCCCGAGTCAGTGACCAGGGCTGAGAACAAGAGAGGTGTCTCACAGACGCCAGCAGATGCACAGGGAGCTAAAAATACAGTCCACACGCAGGCTTCTCCTTCCCCAAAGGCCCTTAGGGGCTTGTTGGAAAGATTGGCAGGCACACAGGATCTGCTTGTCCCAGTCAACAGGTGTGGCCCAGGGTACTGGCCTCCTTCCCTCCCTCTCCCTCTCTACTTACCCCCTCCACCTGTCACCTGGATGAACCAGGCCCCCTCCACAGTCCCCCACCCCAGTGTTTGCCCATTCCTCTGCTTCCCTGAGGGTTCACCCCACCACCTTACAGGCTCTAATAGAGTCTCAGCCATCTTACCTCTCTGTTTTGGGGTGTAGCCAGTCTAGAGCAGTAGAGCCCCATTTTTACTCTGCGAGTGCCCTAGAGCCAGGATTAGAGACTCACGGGTGCAAAGCACAGGTCTTGCTCCAGAAGCAAGAGACCATTTACTCTGAGCCAATCGTGATGGAG